TAGAGGTTCAGGAATCTGCCCCTTGGGTGCATATTCAGGGTACAGTCCTATAGTTTTTTGTCAGTGGCCTTGGAAACCTCAGGCTGAATCCAAAATGAGCTGAACTTCTTCAAACATATTCCACTGGCTTTGTAGGTACATGATTTAAGCAGAGTGCAACCTGTAGAGTTGAGTGTGACAAAGCACATAGAGAACATGCAGCTAGAAGTGTATTAGGGGGAACCTAGAAAGCTGTGACCTCAAAAAGAGGAGCCAGCATGGGAGCATGTCCACCTTATTTCTTCAAGGAGCTCAGGGAAATAAAAAATGAGGACCTGATTTGGGTCAAAAGTACACAAAACCTTCTTTCTTTAATATGTAAACTGTTCATGTTTGGAACTTGGTATGCAGGGTAGACAAATAGGGCTCAGGTTTTTTATCCTTTTATCAGGAGAAGGAGGTTGAGAATATTTTTCACATTTTCCATGCACTACGGAGTGTGGTGGTCATATCTTCTGCTTCTGTTCTAATCTTTCACCAAAGGAAAGGCATTACCTTGAATATCCCTGAGACCATAAAGAGCTTCAAGAACATTATGGTCAAGTCAATGGGTAGTTTTGCTGAAACACCAGTAAAAAAGAATTGGTGCCCTAGTCAGTTTGGCTCAGTGGTTAGAGAGTCGGACTGTGGACTGAAGGGTCTCAGGTTCAGTTGTGGTCAAAGGGCACGTACCTGGGTTGCAGGCTTGATCCCTGGCTGTGGTCGGGACACATGCAGGAGGCAACCAATCGAAGTGTCTGTCTCTCTTTCTCCCTTCTAGTGTCTCTGAAAAACAATGGGAAAAAATATATCCTTGGGTGAAAATTTAAAAAAAATAAAAGAATTGGTAATTCATGTTAGAGTTGATACAGATATGGCATTCGTATACAGAAATAATAGATAATGGTTTCACATAAAAGAAATTCTGATAAACCTAGAAAATCAAGGGAAAGAACTTCAGATAGCTTTGTCCATTAACAGCTAAATTTTCGTTAAGGAGCTAGTAGAATCATGAAATGTTTCGTCCCATGAGAATACATTTTGAGTTCAACAAGTATGAACTTCTTGTTCAGAAACTTGGATTCTTTGCTCGTTTCCTTCCCAGTCTCTAGTGTGACGCTGCCAGCATTCAGTTTGGTATTGTTGCCATGTAGATACAGCAAAATTTCAATACACAGACTTAAGTCAGGGCCCTTTGGTAGTGACCCTGAGATGACTAGGTTTATTAGTTATAATATTTTGTTTTTTAAAGCCTCCCGGAAATTCAAGTTTATATTTCCTGGAATATGAACCAAAACTAATTGAGGCTGATTATGGAAAATGTATCTCGTTTTAACCATCTGTATTACCTGTGGGACACTACAGTTAGAACTGCATGGCCCACAAGGTAAAAATTATGGTAGTTAGAATAATTTTTTCCTATTGTCTTGTTTCCACCACTGAATTTTTACAACTTGAACTTTGGATGGTGTTTTGTACTGTGTAATGAAATTTATTAAAAATATACATAACTGACATTCCAATAAACCATAAATTGACTTTTTATATTAGTTTTGATCTTTTATTAAGTATTTGCTAATCCTTCATATTTTAGCCACATGTTCATGCTTCATGCTTTAAATCTAAATAAATTTTGTTCGTTGCCATACCTCTGAAATTTTTTTCACTAATGAATAGAAAAGACCTATCCCTACTTCCCCACCCATAAGCACTACTAAAAACACAGTGTAGGCGGCCGTGTGATGTGGTGGGGTTCTAGCTCCAACTATATTTGTGATCTTAACCTTTCCATCTGTATCAGTTACCTGAGGCAGTTGTTACAAATTACCACAAACTTGGTGGCTTAAGCAACAGAAATTATTTTCTCACAGTTTTGGAGGCCAGTAGTCAGATATCAATTTCACTGGGTCAATCAAGTAATTTTTTCATACTGTATGGTCCTTGTGATAGAACAAAGTGATAGTACTGGTATTTAGTATTTATATAATACTAAAGTGCTGGTGGCTTTAGTGTTCAGTAAATAATAGAGTGCCAACTATGCCAAGTACTATTCTAGGTATTGTGAACAAGGCAGACAAAAATGAGCCAATGTGGTTGCAACTGATCCGATAGAGGCCTCCAGGGTAAAGGCCTGTGAGGCTTCCTAGCCAAGTGCTGTGACTGGTGAGCAACGTGAGAGAGGGAGGGTATTAGCAGGACAAAAGACCTTTATGAGGTGACTTCAAATGCTAAGTAGGTAAAAGAAAGGCAAAATTGAGAGAAAACTGTCCTAAAGTCTTAACAGGCTACAAATGAGTTCTGACAGAACAAGGAAGGCATAAAATATCACATCAACAATGGCCCAGTGAAGGTGAAAATGGGCCAAGAAAATGACAGCTTTCTAGCTACTGCCAAGATGAAGCTGTGTGTTCAAGTCTCACCTATGGCTCTAGCAGATTTCCAAGAATAACCACTGGTTTCACAAATGCCTCCATTCCACTGAGTCCTACTGGTGGTCCTTTACCCCTTGAGGAATTCCTTGGACTCGGTGACAGGTGAAGACCCTGGGTCTGCCACAGATCCTTCTCCCTCGCCCATTACCCAACTTTATCAGTGCAGCCCTGATTATATTTTGGTTTTCCAAATAATTTTAGTAAAAAGGGTGTTGCCTAGTTTGAAGTCCATTAGACTAAACAAACAATAGCAGCTGAAAGTTGTGAGCAGTTTTATAGCTAGGGGTTCAAACCTTGGGGGCCGGGGGACAGGGAACTTATTTTTTTTTTTAAGGTGCTTCACAGAGTGCAGAATTCAGAATTATAGAGATACTAGAACTGCACTGTTCAACATAACCATTAATCACCTGTGGCTATTTAAATCAAAACTAAATAAAAATCCAGCTCCTCAGTTGCACTAGCTACATTGCAAGTGCTCAATAGCCACATGTGGCCAATGGCTACTGCACTGGACAGCAGATAATAGACCATTTCCATTACCACAGGAAGTTTTTATTGGCAGTACTGTTCTAGAGATACATCATGCACCCACCTTGTTTTACAGAGGAAAAACCTGTCAAAACCTAGAGATGGTGTAGTAGGCTGAATAATGGCCCCCGAAGATATCAGGTCCTAATCTTAAACTTGGAAATGCTACCTTATTAGAAAAAGGGTCTTTGCAGATGTGATTAGCTTAAGGATCTTGAGGTGGGGAGATCATTTTCGATCATCTCTGTGGGCCCTAAATCCAATCACAAGTGACTTTATAAGAGGGAGGCAGAAGGAGGTTCCGTGCACAGTGTTGGCCTTGAAGACTGGAGTGATGCAACGTCAGGCCGAGGAATGCTGGTAGCCACCCAAACCTGGAAGATTCCTTCCCCCAGCCTCCTGAGGGAGCCTACTATTACAAATACATTAGTTTTCTAGTTCTTGGTTGACTCCCACTTGCTTTCTGCTCTGTGACCTTGGAAAGTTACTCAACACGTCTCAGTTTCCCCACCTGTAGTGCGGGGATGATAAAAGGTATTTAAAAATACATATATTTTATTGATTTTTAGAGGAAGAAGAAGGGAGAAGGAGAGAGAGAAACACCAGTGTGAGAGGGAAACAGGGCCGGACGGCCTCGGGCGCGCCCCCTGCGGGAGATCAGGCTGCGCCGGGCTGTGCCCCGACGGGAATCTCACGGGCGTCTTTCCGAGCGCAGGTGGATGCCCGGTCACGCGACACTGGCCGGGGCGATCGAAGCTATTTTGGGATTAGATTAAATGAGATAACAGATTTTTTTATTTAATTTTTTTTTTAAATCCTCACCCGAGGATATTTTCCATTGCTTTTCAGAGAGAGTGAAANTTGGGATTAGATTAAATGAGATAACAGATTTTTTTATTTAATTTTTTTTTAAAATCCTCACCCGAGGATANGAGAGTGAAAGAGAGAGAGAGAGAAACACATCAATGTGAGAGACCGGTTGCCTTCCTTCCAAGCGAGCCCCGCCGGGCAGGACGAGCGTGGAGTCCGGGACCCTGCGGTCCGCAGGCCGCGCTCTGACCACCGAGCCGAACCTGCCAGGGCCAGATGGTGAGCTCTTGAAACAGTAAGAGAACCTTTCATTTTAGCATATACTCCAGTCTTATTCCGCTTAACTTGTTGGACACGTTTGAGCCTGTCACCCAGGGAACAATCTGCAGTGGCCCAGCCCCGCCGACCGCACTGCAGATGGGCCCGAGGACGGGCGGCTGGCCTCCCGGGTGTCGGAGGGGCCTGGGGGTGCCTGTTGAAGGAGACGTGAGCCCGGCTTCCCTTTGAACTTACGGATACGCGGCCCAGCCCCTGGTAACAGCTGGGCTGCGCGGGGGGCCCCGATAAAGGCGCGCGGG